GACCCCGGAACAGAGAGTTTGGGCTAAAGTTACGTGGGCTTTTCTTTGGCTTCGAGCGGCCGCACACGCTTCCCATTGTTGCCGTTGCTGGTGGGGAGAGCTTCCGCAGAAGAAACAAAAAGGACGAACTGCGGCCCCCCCGGTGCAAGCCAGAGGAGGTCAAGCTGGTTCTCCAGGCCCCCCTCTGGTCCAGGTGCGTGCCCTCCAGCAGCAGCAGCAGCTCGTTGAGTGTTCATCTTGGAGCACAAAGCGCACCTCGTTCTCGCGCTTCATTCACAACAGCAAGACTCTCACCTATTTCGGCTACTTGACGCGGGGCCAGCGAGACAACCCGAACAGAGAGATGTCCTGTCACGTCTCCAGGGCCTGCGACCCCACCCAGATACCCCCCCGCCCCCGTAACCCCCCCCCCCCCCCCCACGGCGAGAGCGCTGACACGTGACACAACAACTATGCCAGGAGAGAGAGAGAGAGAGAGAGAGAGAGAGAGAGAGAGAGAGAACAATATACTGAGGACATTGTGTAGATGATAAATGAGGGGACCAGCACAGTGTTCTATCAAATAATACATATTATTGTGTCATTACTGTATTATTGATCTTGCTCTCTGCCAAGTTGACCTTTTCTGGATTCTAGCTCCAAGTGAAAACACAAGACACGCACGCTGTCTGAATAGAAAACCCCTTTTGTTGATAGGTGCGTAATTTAATCTCAAACACAGAGAAGATTAGTCACGTTTGCCTTGGTATTAAGGATTTAGGCCACCGGTCATTCGATGGGAACAATAAACGGAGAAACCCTGTTTTTTTGTCAGTTAATCCGTCTCTGGGCATTTTCATCACACATGTCTCCGGTGGCTGTAGAGTGACAACAACAATATGGGCATAATATCGAGTCAGCACATTGACATGCTGATCAGCGTGACCCTCCTGGGTTGGTAACCGAAATGTGGTAAGCAGCCCCCAAAAAAATCAGGAACATGGGAGTCGGTGCTAAAAAAAGACAGTGTGCTGTGTGTTTGCTTGGGTGTGCGTGAGAGAGGGTTCTCAGTAGGGAATTACAACGTTGTTGTGTTTTTTATACTTGAATCGTGGGGAGCTTTTTAAGCAGGTGATTCACCTGCTGTAAGGCAAGCTGACGTCCTTCACCCTGTTGATGTCATTTCTGTCCACCCAATCGAAGAAACCAGCGGAAATAGTAGTCTAGGCTTTTTGTTAGCAGAAGAGGCAACATGCTACGGGCCTCTCTGCTGGCCTTTCCAAAAGTTAGCTGCAGTCAAGGGGAGAGGCATCTTGAACATAATTACGCAACACAAAAAACTGGTTTGGCATCCGGCGAGCGAGCAAATGTGCGAGGTGGACCATGTGGAATGCATGCAGGCTTATTCTACCGCTGCACGGCCACGTGTAACACCATGTGGCACTCCTTGTGAATGACTTGATTATTTTACATCTATATTTGCACAAACAATTTTCACTGTGCTTTGGTGGAATTTCTATATTTCTTAACTACGTCCTCCTTGCCTGATTTCGGAATAACAGGCAACGCTATTGCTAGCTGGAGGCCTGAGGAAAGACCCCTGGCATCTACCAATATGATGTGAAAGGTTAAAAATGAAACAGAACTCTTGGTGAAGAGAGGCGCGGCAGTGGGACAAAGAAATGATGTTCTAACAAGTTGAATTGTTAACTAAGCAAAGTTTTTACATAAATAGTGAATGTTTAATTGCGTGTGTGTTCTTTTTAAATCTTAACTCAAAATGTAACTTCACTCCCTGTGTACTATTAATGTGTTTCAACCTGCTCTTAGAGGTTAAGCATGAGGTGACGCCGTCCTGGATATTTTGCGTCCTCAGTTTGATTGCAGCATTTTGCGTCTCCGGCGTGAGACTGACGACAGCCTGCACACATTTGTGTCTCATCACATCTCCAGTGTGCTCATTTTAGACCACAGGCCCGTGAGTTTTCCACCTCTGCTCGCACTTGGACCTGGACCACAGTGGAATCTCTCACGTGCGTCTGGCGGGTGGCTGGTCATTATTCAGCGGCACGCTGTGATCGTGGGGCACATGAGCGACCCAGCGGACTGGCCTGCACACGTTTAAATCTGCATTTAGAAAACCTCATTTTGTGTTTGCCGCGATTAGGATCACGTTTCACAATTAGAAACTACAGTTGTTATTCAGTTGTCATGGTTGATGAGCAGTGCATTGGGAACAGATTGACTTTATCCATATGTTGATAAATGTTGGGGTGTGTTATGTTGTAAAGTAGCTTCGCATGCTTGAAAATGTCGCCCCGTTTTACCATCATAAGCTCCAAACGTCGGTCGACTCGACCGACCTTTTCTTTTCTTTCATAGAGCCGCGGTGGAGCTTTGTGTTGAGTCGGGACATGAACCTTGTTACACTACAGGGCTCGGTTTGTGTTCAGGCTCATGGAAAAGCACTGCGGTGACGTCACGGCTGTGGTGAAACCATGTAGGGTGCCGTGGGATCGCAGCGCTGCAGCCACACAAAGACGGCTATGTCTGAAGCAGTAGTAGGTTAGATACAAGCGACAGCCGATGCCTCTCTATGCTGAGCTGCTCGGTTTCAGGGTTTCAATCTTCTTGTTGGGGTGAACAGGTGAACGTCCACTGATGAAGTTTGGACGAATTGCTGTAATCAGATTTAATTATTTAGAATAATAAAAACGAATGTAATCATGCCCGTGTTGCACAAACAACCTGTGTGCCTCTAAAGGAGGTCTAAGTAGGCTGATGGCGTGTGTCGGGTCCCCAGGGTGGTTTGGTGAAACAGGACAATGTGGCCAGTTACTGTTTGACCAAATATTATTAAGACATCGGGCCCTCGGACCGCCAGCTCAGCGGGAAACTGAAAATCCTCGCTGTTCGTTTGGATCGCAGCGATCGTTGAATGAAGCCAGGCGGCGATGGGTGAAGGTCGGAGGTAAAAACCAGTTTGAAGGCGCGTCGGGGTGGGAGGCGATGTTTGAATAGAGGGCGAGTGTGGGCAGCGGGGGGGAGGGACACGTCTTCCCTTCCAACCCAAGCAGCTCACTGCCTGTCCGTGCCTGCCTCCACCCGAGGACTGAGCACCTGCGCTGGTTCTGGATTAGGCCGACTACAAATAATTCATCAAATCAAATGGTGCCGTGGCATCATCTTACTCGTGCATAACCCATGAGTAACTCAAAGGGTCACGGATGGGGCTGTTTTTCGGACGCAGGCCTTCATGATTCTCAGCCACCAAGGCCTCTGAAGGGCCGTGACCTCGTGGTGTTGCCACCACGTCGGCCAATGCTTTTCTTCCCCGACGATGTTTCATGTGTGGCCATTGGTCTCCTCTTTTAAAGGTTGGTGTTAGTTCAAAAGGGGCTTTGAAACTTTGACGATTCCAGGACAATAAACCAGCTAGCTGTCATATTAGAAAGGTGCAGGTAACGAACAGAGGTGTGTGGGTCGGGGTCGCACAATTCCGTGAACATTCAAAGTTGGAAACTTTCCAGTGGAGTAACAGGAATATGTGGGAATATGTAGGAATTAACTGGAATAAATTGGAAAGTTGGGGGTCATTTAACTGTATTTATGTATTTACCTTGTTATATGTGATGAAATAACATTTTGTTTGTGATAACGAAACACGAATGAGAACATTTCTGATACAAATTTAAAAAATGACATTTTGACTAATCCATTTGTGAGTACAACTTTCACTGAACAACAAAAACATGAATGCTGAATAGAAATAGTGTAAACCCTTTAACCCCCCCCCGCCCCCCCCCAAAGGGTCTACTCCTTAAAGTTACATTAATTAAGCTTTTTAAGTCTCTGGTTTTACTGTTTTTCCCTGAATCCTTTCTGGTTTCCGTCCACGTTGGGTTGAGAGAAAAAATAATTGATTTACAATATCTAGCTACATCCTCTGCAAAGACACACAGCATGTTGCTGCTTTGCACGTAAAATATAGTTTTGAATTACATTTTTATTGGCCAGCCTTTCATTTGCACTAATTACTTTTACTTACGATAAATTGCCAAAATTCCCAAGCTTAACTTCCCATGGTACGTTTTCCGGGGATTTAGCCGTTTTCCGCCCGTATGCAACCCTGGTTCCTACGCGTCATCGGCCTCCGCTGCAGAGAAGCTTGATCCCGTCAGCGGCTAGAGGACAGCGGCCGTGAGTTACGCAGCAGTGTGTTGCTGTTTGTCAAACCTTACCGCCCTCCGTTATCCCCCCACTGGGGGCTCAGAGCAGCAGCAGCAGCTTCTTTAAATTCACCCTCCACCACTTTTTACCGTGAACATCCACTTAGCTGTTTGGGGGACCAGGTAAAAAGAGCGAGTGAGGAGTTAGCGTGCAGTCCACCGCATTATGAAGCAGGCTATAAAAGGGCGTTTTTTTGGGGTCGACTCGAAATCTTTTGCGGTTCGGTGCAGCAGAATTGAACATCTGCCGTGGACGGACATAGAGACGCACCCTCACCCGCTCACAGGTGCTGAGCAGATGGCTGAGTGTGTACGAGCAGCACAACCAGCCACCACCTGCCCTTCTTCCTCATCCCTGTGCAGCGCCGTGTCACTAGCCACACACGGCTCGGCCCTTCGGCAAGGCCGTGGAATACGGGACTTTAAAATAGCTCATGTAGCTACAGCAGCAGTCGGGCATATTTCATCCCTCTAGTGTCTCATATAATAACTGGGCTCCATACAAAGCAGGATGTTTGTCCTTTTCCTGTTATGCCAGCACTCCTGCTTTGCTGTACGACTGATTTTGTTACATAACCTCCCTCTTCAGTCTACATGATAAATATGTTTGCTCAACAGTCAGTTGGCGAGTCTTATCAGGTTGCCGCTGTTTGTTTTAGCGCTCATTGTTGTCCCAACCCGGCTGTTTGACTGACCTTGACTGCGGCCATCGTTCTCACCTTATAGCTAGTTGGCACTGTCTGCCAAAATGAAGAAGAAACTGATTTTGTAAGAGTGCCGCGTGTCTGAATGACTGACTGCCTTTTTTATTCCCAAGTATTGCTTAACGGTGCGCTTTGAAAGACGTGCATTTGTCTGTCGGGACTTGTTTGGTTCTTTTTGCTGGATGCAAGTTACCCAAAACATACATCCTGCTTTCTGCACAAGCTCAACATGGTCCTCACGCGCACGGTGACGCAGAAACCGGCTCAGTGACCTGCGAGTCTCTGATTCCCTCCAGCTCTTTGTTGTGTCCTCGGTCTCCTGGTGTGCAGGCGTTTACTGTCTCCCAACCTACTTCTCTTACCAGCGTTTGACTCATAGTTACTTCAAATATTGTGCCTCTCTTCTTTTTCTGGCCTTGAGTTATTTAAAGTTGCAACAGGAGGTCATGTCATGGTATTTGTTAATGAAAACAAGTTTATGTGTGAACTGCAAGTGTAAACATAGTTTTCATGTTTTGTCTGCTCTTTGTGCATTTAGTCTACACGTGGGTTTTAAACGCCATAGAAACGGTCTTTTGAGTAATGGGGGTTTTGGGCATGATGTTGTTGTGGTGCTGAGTTGAGTTATTGTCTTTCGTGGAGTCGTCTAGGAAGAGCTGCATAGAAAAATATCATCTGCCGTTTGGTTCCAATTTCCCTTTCCCCCTTTTGTTGCGCTTCTCCTTGTTAATCTTTTCCTATTTGTCCACTCTCCTTTCTTAAAGGTCTCCGAGGTGATCAGCAGCATTCGCCAAGTGTCCAAATCGGCCCTAAAGGCAGACGCCAAACCCAAACAGGAAGCGGACGACGCCTTCTACAACTCGCAGAAGTTTGAAGTGCTTTACTGCGGCAAGGTGTGAATGAACGCGCTCCTTATGTTTGTGTTTCATTTCCTTCACTGAGGCTAATTGTAATGATGACAATCATTTTATCCCAAAAAACAGGTGACAGTTCTGCAGAAAAAGGCGGCGGTCACCCTCATCGATGACTGCATCGACAAGTTCCGTCTGCACGAGGTGGAGCGCAAGCGTCTGCGACTGCCCGGGGGCCGGCGAGGGTCCACAGAGGGAGCCTGTGTGGAGTTCCTCATGGGGGGGGGAGGAGAGCCCATCTCCTCGGCTCTGAATGAGAGCATAGAATACACGGAAGGCCCCGGAGGGGAGGACATGACTGGAGGTGGAGGTGAGAGCCTCATCCGCGTTTTTATCCAAGCAATGCGCTTGCACAGGTCTAATCCCAAATACCATGGTCTCCAAGCAGGTTTGATTTTTAAAATATGTTTAAGTCTTTTCAGTTTTTTGACGTTGTGCTTCTGGCCACAGCTTCCAAGTCTTTACGAGTTGATTGTTCATTCACATTATTTCCTCTCATTGGGGAGCGAGCTAGTGTATCATAGGATCGCATTATTCTTGTTATTTCATGTATGAAAATCGCTGGATGATGAGTTGATTAAACTGAAGTGTGGGGGGGGGGGGGCGCGTGCACCGATAAGGATGGCGTATTGTAAACGTAAAAACAAACCACTGCTGCGCATGTTTCAGGTAAAGCCGTGTCCAACGGTGCCAGTCAGAGCAGCCTACGAGGAGCGTTCCCAGAATGCATCCTGGAGGACTCCGGCTTCGAGGAGCCCCAGGAGTTCCGTGCACGCTGCAGCAGCCTCGCAGGGAGCCTGCAGAGGAAGCCCGGGGAGGGTGTCATCATGGGCCCCCTGCGCCGCAGACACTCCAGCGCTCCGAACCACGTCCAGCCGTCCGACTCGGACAGGAACCGCACCATGCTCTTCCAGGTAGAGGACGTTTAACGGGGCAGTCGACCCGCAGAAGTAATGATGGGCCCTTCTGCTGATGGAGGGGCGGGTCTTATCTCTGTGTCCAGATAACTGGAGCTGGTAGAACTCAGCACTGGGGAGCTTTATCATAACTGTACTCTCATTAAAAGATACCTGCTTTGTTGTTGAGGGCTCTATTATAATAATTACAGGACATCTGACATTTTCTAACATTTGGTACTATTGCAGTAGATGTTTACTGGGCTCCTGTGTCTAATAAGGCAAGAGGATGTAGTTCTGGACAGACCTGTATGTAAACGGTGACGTGGCCGGTTCAACTCTAACTCAAATAATGCTTTTGGTAACGTCTTGCTACCTCAAGTCATTTACCCCCGTGCCCTTGGCCTGCAGCTTTAAAGCAGCGACTGGCGGCAGCCGGCTGTTAGCCAGCCAGCTGCCGTTCCTCACACACCACGTCCATTCGCTCACAAAGCTAATTTTAAAAACCAGAGCACAACGTTCAATATGATACTACGCGTAGCAGTCAATTGTGGGAAAAATCATTGCTGCAGACTTGGTGACCTCCATATTGAGGGTGGGCTTCAATGGGTGACCTTAAACGGCTCAGAGTAGTTGAAACTGAGATCACCTTTGGCTAAAGTAGAAACCGTGTGGAGATGTTATGTTATGTGCACTTTTAAGCATGGATCTTTCTGGCCTCATAATACTTATTTTTATAGGTGGGCCGTTTTGAAGTAAATCTCATAAGTCCAGAGAGTAAAACAGTGGTGCTGGAGAAGAACTTCAAAGATATCTCATCGTGCTGTCAGGTTGGTCTATTTTTACTTGCTGCATTTACACTAAAAGCACCTCTTTTCTTTCTCTGCCGTAGTCCTCGCGATACGTTTAATGCACGAGTTTAATGCATTACTGCCCTTGACGTCTAACTCATTGCAGCTTGTCGTTACAGCTCAGCCCTTTTCTTTTCATTTGCTTCTTTTATTCTCTATCAGTGAAGTAGAATATGTTCTTTTTCTCTTTTCTTTTTTCACTGTACATGCAATCCCATTACTCTAGACATCCAGCGAAACGATAATGCACTGTCTAGCATGAAGGTAATGAAAAAAGGAAATGGGGGATGTAAAGAGGCGTCATGGGATCTGTGGTGTGTGCGCTCTTATTGCGTTGCGGCTTAATGGCTTGAAACGCAGGACTGAATGCAAAGGTCCTAGAGCACGTCGTTCCCTTGCTGTGATTCATTCTAGTTTCCCATTTGTCTCCAAATGCTACGCAGGGCGTCAAGCGGTCCGACCATTTCGGCTTCATCGGTCGCGACAAGTGCGAGTCTGGTCCCAGTCAATATGTGTGCTACGTGTTCCAGTGTGCCAGCGAGTCGCTGGTGAGTCACGCAGAAAACCTCACTTCCGGCCCCCGTTCCCGACCCGACCCCGGTCCTTTGATCCGTCTTTGTGCGTCCTCCCCACTTCAGGTGGATGAGGTGATGCTGACCCTGAAGCAGGCCTTCACGACAGCGGCGGCCTTGCAGAGCAACCAGACCCAGGTCCAGATATGCGAAGCCTGCCCCATGCACGACCTGCACAAGCTGTGCGAGCGGATCGAAGGTGAGCCGCCTGAACTCACCTTCCCCTCCGGCAGTCATACGCGCGTCTTTCTCCGAGTTCACACAACATGAAAGGAGTCTAATTCTCCGTTCCTCTGTTTGCAGGTCTCTATCCACCCAGAGCAAAGCTGGCTATCCAGAAATATCTCTCCCAGCTGAGCGACAATGAGCAGGCTGAGATTTTTGAACGCGTTCAGGTACTGTATGGGCATCTCTGCACGCTTCATTATGGCAGAGCCTTGGGTTTTCTCCTTCTGTTTTGAACATTTGTGTGTCCATGTCTGCAGAGACTGAAGCCCGGGTCGGACCAAGAGGAGAACGAGCTGGTGGTTCTCCATCTGAGGCAGCTCTGTGGAACCAAACAGAAGTCCCACCTCCATATCGGGGAGGTCCCGCAGGTAGACGGTGATAACACATTTAATCCATTTAACTGCTAGAAAACTCATGATGCGACATTGTCGCTTGAATCAAACCAAGAGGAGTAGTGGCAGTGCCTAAAAAGACGGCTTTGGACGCCTTCAGCTCCCTTCCTCCATATTAAATGAAAAGGTCACCATGGTGTAATGTTGCCGTTGAGCGGTTGACTGGTTGTTACATTGAATACGTGTCTGTAACAACCAGTGTAAGAAAAGCATTGAGGTATGCGAGGCTGGTGCATAATTACTCTAGCGTGACGTGACCCGAGGGCCTGTGCGTTAAACTGAACCATCCAGTCACCAGATCAGCAGTATTAGTCTCGACTGTGTGGAGTCACTGCTGTTTGCTCAGTCTGTTTTATGAACTCACACCACATTGTTTTATCTTTTTATTTGTGTGACTGTTCTTTTCCCTCTTTCCTCTGGCCAGAATGCAGCAAACAGCTCGTCGGCCGGAGACGGCTCGGCCACCGGCAGCCGCTTCACACTGGACGTCCTCAAGAACAAGGCTCGCACCTCCCTAACCAGCTCCCTGGAGAACATCTTTTCAAGGGTGGGTCTCAAGAAGGGGTCTTTCTTTTTCACATACGTGCCCTTTTCCACCTTTGACTCTCTCTTAACTCAATGTCCTGCCGTTATTTAACGGTTTGTTAATTTAGTAAATTATGGTCCATTTAGAATCAAATACACTGTAGAGCCGGGTATGCTTTAGGGCGGGGCCACCTCGTGATTGACAGGTCTCTACTACATCCTTATATGGCGTCTCTACGTCCCGTGCTTGTCTCAGGAGCGCCCTCGAGGCTTTCTTCTAATTCGGCAAAGAAACATGGGTGAACCGATCAACATTGGATGTTCAAAGGTCACTGCGCCTTCGCAAAATTCACAATTTGGCGCAGAATTCATGTGCTGATTGTGACACGTTCACACTGCATGAAGGGACGGACGGATGTAAACGTGACACCGGGCTCGTTCGGGCAACAACCGGGTGGTCATTCTAGTCTGAGTCTTAATTCTCCGGCCCAGACAGCCTGTGGCCACTATGTGGTCCACGTGTGTCTCTCCTTGTGTCCGTCGCTGTTTCTGTGTCATTGTCATGGAGGGGATTTGGATTGACCCACATCTGCCAGGGAGACAGACGAATGATTCCTCAGTGGAGGGATGCTGGCAAACCGAGACCTCTGCTGCCATCTGTTATTGTCTCTGAGACTCAACTCAGTGGTGTTATGTTAATGTTATCAAACCAGGACATGTTAGTTCAGTGTCACTCATGTTGCATTACTTTTGGGAAAATAACAACTGAACCTTCTGTTGCGAGCGATTGGAACAGTTAAAGAAAATATTATTTTTTTGTGTTAATTTGTTCTTTGAGGACTTGTTTTGTACTGTGTAACCACCAGGGTGCCAGTCGGATGCGAGGCCGCTTGGGAAGCATGGGCAGCGTCAGCAGCTTCGAAAAGGTAAGTGTCCTTGACTGGTTAAAACAATAATTCACTCTAGAGGCTTCGGAGATGCTTGCGTTGGAGCCAGCGGCTTTCAAAAGCATGCCATACTCCATCTCTGTCCCCATGAAAGGCTTTCACTGCGTCGGCCGGAGGCCATCAACGTCTGTTCTCTCGCGGTGAACAGGATTGTGCACTGAATCCTTCCTTTACATTAGACGCACGAGCCGAAGGACCCGACAGAACAGCACAGCAGGGAGTGACAGAGTGGACCGTCGGTGGACCATTTGGGGTTGTTGGCTTCACGTTGTCACCGCTGTGCAGAATTTGGGGCGAGTGTGTGACCGATGGTGGAGTTATTCCACAGATGTTAACATGACACCTCTGGAACATTGTCGGACTCATGGTGGACGGAGTAAAAGCCGACGCCCGTACTGATGGATGAAGTGATTTTAATTTGGAAGTCAAAGGTCAAGGTCACTGCGTCTTAACAAAAACACCTTTTTGGGCCATAACTCATGCATTCCAATGCCAGTTATGAGCATCTCACACACATGTTTATTACAGTTAGATAGTGGAGGGAAGGCATTGGCTTCAGAACCAAAGGTTGCTGCCAACCAGAGGTTTAAATCAGCACGGGGCAACTCCTCTACTCGTATAAAAGCCTGGTTGAATAGAAGTCTGTGAGAAGATGACTCTACTTGTCTATTGATTTATTCCCTCAGTAAACCTGGTAAACATGAGTTCATGGTCTTTTCCAATACAGCATGATGTTCATTTAATAATTGATGGTCCACTTCGTGTAAGATAGACCGTAAATTAGCCATTTATTGGTTTGTTCAACCGTAATCCGATATGTGGACAGCCAAAACGCACAAATCAAGGCTTCAAACAGGCAGTCCATGAACCATATAATGGCGGACGTGATGTTTACGTGATGTTCCACTTTTTAATAAAGCGTAATTCTAGCTTTCCACTTCACACCAGACAACCACATGCCTACCTGCTTCACGCCACTTGCTCCCTTGCTGCCTTTGAGAGGCATCTCCATGTGGTGGGATCTCTTTACGCTGCTCTCACTGTCACCGAATCCTCCAATACCATGTTCAACTAGCTAAAATCACAATTACACTAACTATATGTTGTATGTTGTTCTTTATACAACGTGCATATTCTGTATGAACCAGAAGTATTTGCCGTGTTCTCTTTCAAGCCTCACCAGATTTCGTCAGGGTTTTGACGTTGAGCAGGAAATCCAAGTCAGGATGTCCAGTTGTGCTTCTGCTGAGCCATAACCGTCCTGGCTTCCCCCCTACTTCCTCCGCCCTTATCTGAGTCACTTTCAGCTGACATCTGGCACGATTTGCACGCGTTCAAAAGGACAACAGACCCTTTCCAACCCACAATATGATAAGCAGTGCAAGGACCTTTGAGATAGTGAAATTAGCATTATTTTCTTTCACTGTGTATTGAAAGAAGCAGCACAAATTGAGCGTGTTATCTCGTTCCATGCCAGAGAGGGAGGTCTGTCAGAGCAGGCAGGGGGGGAGCGAGGGACATCCTAGGGTTTCCATGTGGAGTTGAGCCGCTCAGATCCTCCCCACCAATCGGAGTGGGAGGTGGCGAGTCACGTGACGCTGCCCATTAGAATACAATAGATATGGGTGTTGTGCTGCCAGGCGGGAGGCAACTGTGAGTCCATGAGTTTTGAGTGGAGTTCAAGCTGGAACATTTCCTAGCTTTACGCTAAATAGGTAAGTGTCGGTAACTCGAGTCGTACCAGTGTTGTTTTTTACGGAGTCGAGCTGCTTGGTTGTGCAGAATATCTTAAAGGACTTTGTTATCGTGCACCATTGTGTCCACCAACCCTGCTTTAACATCTAGTAGAAAGTCAGCTTAAGCTCTTCACCCATGGACTGACATCTTTCTGTCCCCCCCCCCCCCCCCCCCCCCAAGCAGGATGAGGAATCGCCCGGTCACTCCCCTCCGGGCTCCCCTCCCGCCTTCCCCGACGGCGACCCGGAAGGCGGCCAGCAGTTCCGCCGGCGTGCCCACACCTTCAGCCACCCACCTGTGAAGAAGCGCATCTCCTTCGAGGGCCAGTCGGCCAGCAAACAGGCTCCGCTGCGCAGGCAGCAGTCCGTTAACCCCGAGCTGCTGCAGGGCAGGTAACTTACACTCGTCAGTTCCACCCTCACTACCTCGAACCCGGGGGAGAAAGGACAAAGTGCACCTCTGGGTGCACTGCTGGAGGTTTGGCACATTTTGAATGGTGCTCAAACGTTTCCAGGCTAGTGAGCTTTTGTGTTTTTGTTTCACTATTCACCCGAAGCCAACTTTGGCCCATAAAACCAGAGCCTGTTGCTTTTGTTTGAATGAGTTTGAGGGTATCTACAGATTGCGTTAACCTTGGATGGAGACGCAGACAATGTAATCTATTTGCAGCGCTCTCTCCACCTCCCGCGTCACCATCCCCGGACAACAGCGCCGCCAGTTTCCTGTCGCTGTTCTGATCCGCTCATGTGCTCCTCCGCGTGGCGCTCATTCTTTTTGTTTGATGTTTGTTTTCTCTGTGTGTTTGCGGACACTTGACGTTTTGGCTCGCCCAGTCCCCGGGCCGTCTCCAGAACGCGCAGCGTCTCGGAGAGCGAGTCCACCTTCGGCCTCCCCTCCTCCTTCTCCGCCCCTACTTTCCTGAAAAGCATTTACCAGGGCTCGCTGGGCTCCCTGAGCTCCCTGGCAGACAGTGGGACCCTCAAGAGGTGAGAGGGGGGGTTGCGCTCAGACCAAAACCCCCACTGCTGATGCCCAGACCACTAAGGGGTGGAAGGGGTGTGCGGGTCTTTGCTGGGACGGCAGTAGTCGTATGTACGCGTTGGCTGCCCAAACCTTTTAACACCCGGCTTCCTCGATCTCGTCACGGTCGCACTTTTTTTTTTTCCTTAAAATTTCCAGCCGTATCTTTTTTGTGCCCGCCATCTTCCACGCACCCGTAGGCGCCCTATTTTCCTAATTATGTCAGAAGTATAAGCGGTAGCTGGTCTCCTCTCTCATGCATGTGGATCTGAGGCATTCATTCTTTCTTGCACGGCAAAGCTGTACTTAACGTGTATTGGCTGCCTTTTATTAACCTTTTCCTGACCTGTGCTACCGTGATGCCTCAGGAGCCTCTCAAGCATCAGGTTGCTGTTAACGTCCTCTGAACTAATCTGTATGTTTGAAGAAAGCAAAACACACGACTGACTGTCTCCGCGGGGCAGAGAGGAAAAGTCAACATTTGCATTATGAATGAGATTCAGTGGAGCAGGCAGCGTAAAATGGCCGAGTCCCTTTATTGAACACGCAGCGAAATACCGAAATGATCATTTCAGTTTTAAAAGGCACCATTAAAAAAAAAAAGCGTACGTAGATGTGAATATGCCAACATATGGTTGCTTTATCTGTTGAGATCACTTACCTCCAGTCCTGTTTGCTACTGTGACTTCTCTCAACAGGAAAGCATAAGGGTAACGTGCCAAGAGGCACTTTAACCTGATCTGTGCCGAACAGCTGTGAGAGTAAACAAAATGGTCTCAGTGACATTTTTCTTAACTAAGATCCCTTCCTGTTTTTCTACTGCGCTCCCGATGGGACGGGGGGGGGGGGCAAAAAAGAGGGGGGGGGGGGGATGCGCTGAACAAGCTTATCAACCGCTGTAGCTGGGAGCCATCTTCTGCGAGTCACGTGACCACTTTGGTTCTTTAACGGAGGAAACAGTTTGACCTAGTTGCTTCAGTTCTTTAGGCTCCGCTTTCAATCAACAGCTTCGGTGTGAACTGTCCCTTGAAAAAACCCTCTAATAAATATGAAGAGATTGGTGCAATCATTTTAAATGCATTAGTACTAATCAGATGACTGCATAATTCACATTCACAATGTACAACATTTCATAAAATCACATCGCGTTCTTCTCCCAGCAGCTTTTCTTATTGCACCTTTTTACTTATTACGGAGTAGAACCGTTGAAATGGGCCTTTTTTAGTAGAGCCTGCCAGGTTCTCCCTTCGTCTGCATTGTCTGGTTGTCGGCAGGCGGGAATTCATGGCTTCAATAAATGTGAAGCATAAATTACTTGACGCGGTGAGCGTGACGTTGTCCAGCAGCTCAGTAACCCGCTCTCCACTCCACTAACAAAGGTATTTTTTCCAGGAGACCACCGGGCACGCATGCACGGTGGTCATGTGACCTAACAACACTACCGTCTGCCCCAATAGTAACATGGGAATCATCTGCTGCATGGTTTCCTCCTCAATTTGTTTCAACCTTAACCTCGATCGTTTCTCACCTGCTCCCAGAGTTTGCTGATGAGAACCCTGTGTAAGGTTACCTGTGTGTGCGTTTGTGCGCTGAAAGACGCGCGTGCATGTGCAAGGCGACACCTGACTCGCCTGCCGGGCGTCCGTGACGCTGCTCTCCTCTCTCGTAGCAATGGGGAAGGCAGGAAGAGGAACCTGTCCATCTGCAGCAGCGACTCGCTGAGCGGGGGCCTCCCCCCGACCCCCCGCAGGGTCTCCTGGAGACAGAAGATCTTCCTGAGGGTCGCCTCGCCCATGAACAAGCAGCCCGCCTCGATGCAGCACTCAGGTCTGGTAACACGCCCCCCCCCCCCCTTCCCTTCTGAATAATCCACACGCGCATAGAAAACGAGGACATTTGGTTCTGGGGGAAGATTCAGACTTCTGACTTTAACGTTGAGGGCTTATTTGGGTAAAGCAGTAAAGGCTGAGAGGAAAGGAGTTTTCCCACTTCATCCGTGTCAGATAAACAGTGATAACGTAGGTTCCTCCTGCCGGTCTTCCTCCATAGCAGAGACTCATTAAATTAGTAATGATTCAGGAACGGTACATTTTCTCAACGTGCTTCCTGTTGATTTGTGCGTTTCAGACCACTATGGCAGCAGGGAGCTGTTGCCCCTCTCCCCTTGCGGCACAGGCTCCGGTCTGGATCCTTTGGGCCGTCCGCTGCCCCCGGCGGGAAGCAGCCTTTCTGGGGAGAGGCCTAAAAGAACGGGCGCCGACTACCGGGCCCTCTGGAAGACCGCCATCCACCAGCAGATCCTGCTGCTGCGCATGGAGAAGGAGAACCAGAGACTGGAGGGTGAGTTGCATTTGTGCCGCTCACGCGAGGAATGACAATCGCCCCCCCCCCCAGGACGAATCCAAGCCCGGGTCACATGAGGGACAAATCTGTCCCAAGAACATAAGAGGAACCTATTGTTTCTCTGCAGACACGGGCAATGTTTATGAAGCGTCGCGCGGATGTTCTTGTCAGCCAGCTGACGGAACGGGAGGCTCCGCCTTCTCATGCCGCCGGCCTTCTGCTTGTTTTGAGAGTTTCAAATGTTGCCACCACGGTTGGAGATTGTGGGGCAGTGGTTATATTTAGAGTGAACTGTTGTTGCACGCAGTTCTGAGCACATGCTCGGGCGCTCAGCGGCACAAACGAGGCAGCAGTTCAAGTAGCACTTATGCTAAATGTTGCCCTCTTACGGCCCGTGTTATTAAGGGGCTTTCCCAGGGTGCATTTCTTTTCCTCTCCTCCTCTGGCGAGCCGTCGTTATTGACAGTTATCGGTCGAGCAGAGGAGCGGAGAGGAGGAAGTAGAGGCTATTTGGGTCTCTTCATTAGACACATTATCAGAAGATGCATCTGCTCAGGGAAGTGAATTAAATCGCACTCTCCAAATGTCTGGGAGCTTATTACATCTCAGATTTCACATGTCCAGCTCAAACGATAGATGCAACTATAAACTAAACTCTACTATGTTATGATTGTATTATATTATACTCCTATACTAGATCACGCTATATTATTATACACGGTAATATATTTGATTAAACTAAACTATTCTTCTATACTTTATTTAAAATATAATCATACTATGTTAGATTATAGTAGATAATATAATATTACACTATAATAAATTAGATTTTCTCTATATTATATTATGGTAACTTGTATACCAACACATCTCTTTCCCTTTGTTTGTTATCATGACATCAATGCTGGTCTGAGGGCCTAACTGAATAACCCTTTTCAATAGAAGGTAAGCGTTATAATATCAGCCCTTGGGTCAAGGCACAGGGATGTTTTGCATGATTCGGGGGTGTTTGTTCATTCTATTCCTTCAGCTTCTTCTGTTTGCATGTTCAGGGCCGGTGAGACGTTCATGCAGATTTTGCTGTACGTTTATCCCACGACCTTGATGCAGCCTCTCCTTCCCTCCAGCATAATAGAGATGGATCTTTGGTGTCAATGTGGCTATTGTGGCTTTTGTGTGTACACAGCAGGCTCTCCATGGCAACGGGTGACAAAACGCGCGAGGCACTGTTCCCACACTTAGATCTGCCTTCTTCCAACCAGCCGGCTTCACAAATGATTTGCCACCCTTTGGTCTTTTGATTTTCTGCTGCGATCGAGAGACTCTTTCTTGACAAAATGATGCCGACTATGTCCCCTCGTCTCTCATTTTCTCTCTTTTGTCCCGGGTGATTGTGTTGCAGCGAGCAGGGATGAGCTGCACATCCGCAAGATGAAGCTGAACTACCAGGAAGTGGGCCAGTGCTCCACAGAAACGCTGGCCCTGTGGGACAGAAAGCTGACAGCCCCGGGCAGAACGACGCTCGCGCAGAACAAGGAGGAGCTGCACGGCGCTCTCTGCCAAGGTGAGCGCCGTGCGTTTTGTGCTTGTGTTCCTTTTGTATCTGTGCGTCCCGTAGTGAGCGAGCACGATCGTTGGTGTGCAGGTGTTCCCAAGAGCCGGCGCGGGGAGGTCTGGCTGCTCCTCTCCCATCAGTACCGGCTGCGCCACAGACTGCCCCAGCGCCAGCAGGCCCTGGACGTCTCCTACCAAGACCTGCTGAAGCAGCTCACCGCCCAGCAGCATTCTATCCTGGTGGACCTAGGTGGGCACGGGCGTAAAAAGGGCTCCTCCTTCTTCTTGACGCGACGAAACGCTCACGGGTGGTATTTTGTCCTCCTCGCTCAGGCCGGACCTTCCCCACACACCAGTACTTCTCGGCCCAGCTGGGCGCAGGGCAGCTCTCCCTCTACAACCTGCTGAAAGCTTATTCTCTGCTGGATACAGAGGTGCGCACTCTGACCCGGTTTCTTCACTCTGCCACAGTGCGCTGAATATTGTGGCATATTTAGTGTTGTTTAATGTGTTTGTGTGTGTGTGTGTGTGTGCGCGTCGCAGGTCGGCTACTGCCAGGGCATCAGCTTCGTGGCCGGAGTGCTGCTGCTGCACATGAGCGAAGAACAGGCCTTTGACATGCTGAAGTTCCTCATGTACGACCTCGGTATCAGGCAGCAGTTCAGGCCCGACATGGTCTCCCTGCAGGTCAGTTCAGGGACGGCTGGCTGCTCCGCTCGCCTGTTAGGACATGAGGGGCCGCGTTACTATTTGGACAGTTTCAGCTCTGCAAAATGACAGAAAATGAATGTCGAAATCTCTGCGGCACGATGTTTTTTTTTATGACAGGTTGGCCTGATGTAAGAAGGCGTAGAAGGCTACATGACACCAGTCCAACAGTAGAAACTGTTCAATAATAGCGCTCATAGGCCCAAAAGTTCAAATCAGAGTTAAAAACACTAACCTGACCCGCCAGATAGTTTGGTGCCTAGAAACATCTGAGGAGCAGTAATTGAATCTCGGTTGGAGAAGGACAGGCATGGATTCAATGAGCCGTCTGTCAATCAAACTCTTTCCCAAGCCAGTTGGGAGAAGAGAGGAATCCTACTTTCCGTCGACAAAAGCCTTCAGTGTCGTTCACGAAGAAATACTCTCCAGTTCCCAGAGACCTGATGCGATTGTAGTATCCACGCTAACGTCTGTTAGCAAACGGCCCAAACACATTTAAGTTGTTAAATAGACAATAGACAAATGCAGTAGGTGAAGCCTGACTCGGTGCTTTCAGCGTGAAAAGTAATCCCGTGATTCTTGCTCCTGAACAAATCACAGCTTCAACCAGACTGGTAAATAATAAGGTGTTGTTCACGGGGAGATTCAGCGCAGCAGAGAAGGAAATCCTCCGAGCATGAAAGCAGGCATGAAAGATGGGACGCACACGGCCGGGCCTGCATGCGTTTGCACCAGGAGAAGTGAAATGTTTCAAATGTAGCGTTCAATTTTGGGCTTTAATCACATAAAACCTCCACACTGCGGCTTTAAATTGAAATGTTATTACCAAATACATTGAGACTGTCAATCCCGCTGGACTTTAACAGGCACACAGTGTCTCCACCTCTTAGTCAGACCACACCTGCACGCCTGCTCTGTTAGCTCCTGTTAAACATCAGCTGACCAGCGGGGTGAGAAAGCAGCGCCAGGCGTGGTAATCTTTAATCTTTCAGTGTTAACCATTGAGCCGAGCGCATTACTCTCCCCGCTGCATCGCTGCCGCCTAAAGGAGCGATTCCACGGGTCGCGAAGCGAGCAGGAATCTGGTTATCTCAGCGGCTCGGCAGCGAGGAGGTAAAAGTGTTTCTCTCGTCGTCTTTGTAACCGTCAGGAAATTGTAAGACTGATAACAGTCTAATTTTAGCTCGGGCCAACTTCTGCTTCTCTGTTCTATCGGCTTTGTTTCACTGTGGCGCACGCAGTCATCGTAGATGACTGCTCGGCCGCGGGCGCGTGTCTGGGCAGGCGTGTGGAGCGGCTCGGGTACTGCTCAGGGCTGGAGGGTCCTTCCCAGATTGCTCCGTTCCCTGCAGATCCAGATATTCCAGTTTATTCTGTGTCTTTGTCATCTGTCTGAACGCGCGTGTGTGTGTGTTTCCTCTGCGTGTCATGCCAGGTCCAGATGTACCAGCTGTCCAGACTGTTGCACGACTACCACCGCGACCTGTACAACCACCTGGAGGAGCACGAGATCGGGCCGAGCCTCTACGCGGCGCCCTGGTTCCTCACCCTCTTCGCCTCGCAGTTCCCGCTCAACTTTGTGTCCCGCGTCTTTGGTGTGTTCGTGGAATAGCGGAAAGATTGTGCGTTTTTTTTGTGGTCGCGATGCTTATTAACGTGCGTTTTCAGATTTCGTATTCGTCGAAGGGACCGGGGTGATCTTCAAAGTGGCTCTCTGTCTGCTGAGCAGCCGTGAGGGGGAGATAGTGGAGTGTGACAGCTTCGAGAGCATCGTGGACTATCTGAAAACCACCCTGCCTGCCCTCTCTCAGACCCAGATGGAAGAGACCATTGCCAAGGTACAGAGTGGGAAGTTGAAACCGTATGATAACGTGATAATGTCGTACTTCTGCATGGGCACACAACCCCTCCTTCGTTGCAGTGGCGCATCGGCACACTGTGTACGTTGTGCAGTAATCTGTTGTTTCGCAGGTGACGGAGATGGACATCTCAAAGCAGCTGCACGCGTACGAGGTGGAGTACCACGTCCTGCAGGACGAGATGTTAGAAGCCGGGCCGCTGCCCGACGACTCGGACCGGCTCGACAAACTAGAAAAGACCAACGTGCAGCTGAAGAAACAGAACATGGACCTGCTGGAGAAGCTGCAGGTAGAGAAGAGAGCAATCGCACTCCCCGCACTTTTGGAAAACAACTGCAAATGCTGGTTAAATAGTCTGCAAGGATATCAGTTATTTGAATGAATGATCATTGAGGGAACGGACACGTAGAGGTGTTTAGTTGTTGGTCAGTTTATAATTCCTTCTTTTGAAGAACGTTTTTACGTCGACGTACCGATAACTGATAATCCCTCACACTGCCAATAGATGGCAGTAAAACACAACCTAAAATTCAATGAGAACAACAGCAGAACAACGAGAATAAAAACTGTTCCCCCGAATGCTCTTGACATTTTGATAAGTTGTTAGTGAACGTGTGCAGCAGGGCCGCTAAAGTCACACCTGATGGTCCTCACAGAGGTATGGAGCTGCTCTCGTACTTGGCGTGACTAGAAGAAGTAGTGGACACTCGCTACATTTTTCAAGGGAATCGAAGCGAAGGCTGGATTCTGCACAGACCACAATCACATCATATATCAGATTTCATGCAGTGGTTCTGGTACAAAGTCCCACTAGTGGAGTTCTCAGAATGCGTCGCTCCAGTGCTTGTTGTTTACCCCCGTCCCTGTACTTACTGAGGCACGACATCTCTGTCCTCCAGGCCGCGCGGCAGAAGATCCAGACGCTGGAGACCAGCGTGGAGAACTTCCTGTCTCGGGAGAGCAAAATGAAGCACATGATTCGCTCTCTGGAGCAGGACAGGGCAGCTCACCAGAAGACCATCGAACGCATGCGCTCCTGCGTTCCCCCTGACGCCCTGACAGATGTGGAGATGACCCAGTTCAAAACGGGACCCAACGGGAAAGCCAAAACCGCAGCCAAGAAGCCCTGATTGCGACCGGGGGCACGGAGGGGAGGGGGAGGGCGGAGGCGTGCAGAGAAACGGAGGGAACATACAGTAAATGCTTCAGCCGCTGGGCTGCAGGTCCGTTGTCGTACAGCTGCACAGACGCGGTGGGGCCTTGTGAGTTTGTGACGTGCAGACTGGAAATATCTACGTGGTGTTCATCAGCGCGCAACAGAACAGTGGGAGGGTGGTTTCAATCGCGCATACGAGCGAGACAGACTGTTCCAATCAGTGCGTCAAAAGCTTCCTGCGCCGTCTTGTCCGTTTCACTGCCAGTTTGAAAGGTGAGATCAAGATGTGCAACATCCTCCCTCTTCACATACGGCTTTTAGTGTTCAGCCTTCATGTATTTGCCACCGGTCTCAGCAGTTGAAAGTTGCCTGTTGGCAAACAATCCTTTGGACCTCAGGTTCATTTAGCTATTAGTGTGTGTGTGTGTGTGTGTGTGTGTGTGTGTGTGCGTGCGTGCATTACCTCTTGTTTTTGAACTCGTGTCTGTTATGGAAATCCTCCCTCAGAGTGTTTTGTCATTTTCCGGTGGATGCAATTTCCCTCCAAAGAGCTTTAGCTTTGTTGCCCCCCCCCCTTGAGTGCATGTCTTTTCTATATCAGGCTTCTGATGTTAAGAAGACATATGTGGTCTGGGCGCTTGACGCTCAAAAACCGCACCACTGCCTTCATGTGAAAGATCTTTTAATACGTGCACTCGCGAGAAGTCTCGAGGGGCAGGATGTGAGGACGTCTGCCTTCTTGGTTTCCTGTGTGAGTGGCCGCGGCGTCGCCCGCTTTGCGCTGCTGTTCAGACGCCAAGGCGAAGAAAAAAGGAATGATCTAAATAGACACCACACAAGCTCCTGCGTGACACTGTTGTTGTTGTCGGCCCCGGAGTTTGACACGGCTGGCGACGCCCTCGCTTCCTGTACTTCTTGAAGGTGGGACTGCAAGTTAGTGTACAGTGCAGCAAAATTCAAGTGTTTTGGTGAGTGAAAAGACCGCAAGGGAAACAATCGCAAGTCAAGTTTGACTCCCTTTTTTGAGTGTGGCTGGGTGTTTCCCAATGCTGGGTAATGTACACACACACACACACACACACACACACGGACGCAAGCAAACAAGCCGTGAACTGCCTGCCTGCATGGGCCGACGGTTCAGGTGAGTTCAAAGCCCGTCCCCCGGCCCCCTCCTCCGTTCGGTTTTCATCCCACCCCCGTGTCTGACTCACCGTCGCCAGTTCTGATTGAACACAACACAGGCCTGGGCGTCACGCCGCTTCCCCAAAATGCACCCTCAATGCACACGAAAAAAACAAGGTGACGACTTTTCACTCGGAGAGCACTTACCAACTGTGCCGATCGAAAAAAAAAGAGATTCAGCCCAGGCAGACGCCTTCGGCATACAATGTGATGCCTTTTTTGTTTTGAGTCCTGTGCGCTTTCATGCACCCGGAGGCCCCGGCCTAAACTTTTGATGCCGGGTCACAGGAGCTACACCTGCACACATGAAAAGTATGATTTGGTGATAAATTCTGCCTGATGCTCCCTATTTTGGTCAAATGTTCTTGTGAGGACAGAGGTGACGCAGTTGAGATTCTCTATCAATATATAACAAAAATAGCCTCCTGCTAAGCACTCATTTTGAAAGCTGTGGAAGGATACGTAAGGCGCAGCTTCTCTTCTCTGTGTAGAATATGAATTTACATTACAGGTCATTTAGCTGACGCTTTTATCCAAAGCGATTACAATTTATGGCTTTTTATATTTTACATTTTACAGCAATTAGGGGTTAGGTGTCTTGCTCCGGGACACTTTGACTTGAGGCAGCCGGGACTCGAACCACCAACCTTGCGGTTCCCAGCGCAGCCGCTCTAACCCCTGCGCCCTTTTGAAACCAAAGATTTGGTTACTTTAAAAAGAAAGAGAATGAATGAAAAATGTATGATTTGATCCAAAATACATGGTTGCATTATGTATACGTGTGTTTTAGATAATATTGTCAATACACCTTTGAAGCTTTCTCCTGGTTTATACTATGACGAATGCTTCAAAAGATACCAAATATTTGCAGTAAAAACTTTTAAAAAAAGATTATTTTGTGCCAAAAATAAATGATGGCCTTTAATCTCCATTCATCGGAGATCTGATGCTGTTTTGTCATCATCCAATGTGGTCGGCAAAGGGTCTTTATTGTGCAGCCAGCGCTCCGATTACCAAACAGCGCTTGTATCGCCGCGTTGTGAGAAGACACTTAATAATAGATGGAATTCTTTATCTTCTGTCAATACAAGGGCTTCACATAAAACAAAACACTGTCATGAATTCTTCAATAAACTTGACCTTGCCTTATTTTCTGTCTACTCATGTCTAAATGTCTTCCTTTGTCAGGAGAAATCATGTTCCTTTCCTGCTCTACAATGTCGAGTGTAGAGCTGAAATGCTCTCCGTATTATTACGTTAAAAAAAAGGCTTCGACAGTTTTCCAGTCCATAAAAAGACCGTTCAAGAGTTGAACGTTTGTTAACGCCTTGGGCTGAAATAACTATAGTTCTCTACAAGGAAAAAATAGCAACTGAACAGAGCGGCTGAAACGTTCAAACTATTCTACTTTTGTGAATTAGCCACATTGTGGTGAATGAAATTAATGTTTGTCTTTGCTCGTCAGTTCACTGAATTAAATGAAGATGCTAGATGCAGCAATTACACACCAGAAACGTCTTCTTTTGCGATCGGGTGTCCTAAAAGTGAGTTTTTGAAATTATTAGATCAACGTTTGATGAGGAGGGACATTTCTTAAAATCTATAGCAATTAAACTGCTAGCTAACTTTAGCATAACCTACTAGCACCAGTAGGGTGGGGAAACAGGTTCCTCTCTGCTGTCCAAAGTTTACATAACTGTGATAATAAGCCAAATCCATTTTTTCTCCAGGTTATTGGTTACACACAAACACAATCCCCGATGATAAAATAGGTTTCGCTATCTGGCAAACCTACAGTTTATTACGGCTGCACAGTTGCCCCCGAGCCCCTGAATGCAGCGCCTCGTTTGTCTGGTAACCAGGCAACCAGCCTCCAGTTGTGACAAGTGGACCTGATGCGTAAGTTTTCTTGAGTCTTTCCCTCCACTGACAAGCAGCGGGCGACTCGTGGTTGCATAGAAGTCAATGGGAAAGTGACACAACATTATTTTCTACTGCCGGTAAATGAGGAAACAGCTGAAAATAGCTCAAAGCAATGCAGGAATGCTGAAGATAGCTAGCTTCATCTCACTGGGCTTTAGGGGTACGTCAGACAATACGGAGCATGGATATGAACCACAGGGTCCAGCAAGAGCTCCAACAGCCAAGGAGCGGCTTTGAGAGATAGCAACCACAAGACGGGTCATTGTTTTTCCGAGCAAGGCCTGGCCCAGGAAGGTCTGTTGATCGGGCTTTGCCAGGCCTGGAGCTCGTCACACACGCAGCAAAGACGCACATAAACGACCGCCAACGAGGAGCCTATCGCACTAAACAAAAGGGGCCACATTCTTTGCGTATTCCCACACGAGGACACATCCTGCAGCAAACGGGGGCTGAGTTGGATGCTGGGGGTCCACTGGGGATTGGGCCGAGAACGACACTTCCTCCGCCCAAGGTCTTATCAGCTCTGTTTGTGTTTTTCTTTCACTCTCTCTCCCTCTCTCCCTCCGTCTTCACCGTCTCCGCACTTTCAACCCATCCTCAACCTCCCACTCCGCTCCCCTCATTCCTCCCATCGGGATTGGGAGGCTTGATCCAGAGTTTGGCTGTGGCGTCTACTGTCACGTGCAGCCTGCGTAAGGAAACGCAGCAATGCAAGAAGACGGGTGTGAATGAAACACTGAGAACACACAATGAAAAATACCATGACTCAAACTCATAGAAGCGCCACTGTTTGACAGAGGACAGGCAGCCCTCTATTAAATATTGTGTGTGTGTGTTTTAGGAGCATCAGTGCACGGTGTTAGAAAGGGAACAGTGAGTGTGGCTGGTTGCTGAAGGGGTAGAGGAGGAGGAGGAGGAGGAGGAGGAGGAGGGTTAGAAAGGGTGCTCCTGCCTTATATGGTAATGCATAGTGCTGTGGCCCAGTCTAAAAGCTGGAGTTGTTTCAATGGAAACCGCTGGGCCACAGGCGTCAGTATGAAGTATCACAGGTCACAGAAAACCTACACGCAACAGATTCAACTCGATAATGGGTTTTAGAGGCAAAAATAGAGCAAACGTTACAGAACTTGGCCGTCAGCAGTGAACCAGGACTCATCTGAGCGGCGGACAGAGATTACAGAATTTTGATGATGGAGATAAGGGTGTGGGTGTGGGTGTGGGTGGGGGGGTCGGAGATAGAGAGGGACACATCTGGGAGGGGTGGGGGAGAGACTCAGGTGGGCTCAGGCTAGTCCAGAGGGAGGAGCTGTCAAAAGGCTGAAACACACACACATACGCATAGACACACACACACACACACACACACACACACACACACACACACACACACACACACACACACACACACACACACACACACACACGCACACGCGCATAGACACACCTCCCCACTTCACTGTGAGATCGACTGCTTTAGCTGTTTCAGAAGCACCTTCCTCAAGTCTCTTCCTTCTCTGAAGCCATGAAATACACTCTTAATTCTTAATTCTAACAGCTATCCACTGTGCACACACACACACACACACACACACACACACACACACACACACACACACACACTGCCACATGACATGTTTTAGTTAGCCCGGTGACAGATCTGCTCCCTACAGAGTGCTTCTCTCTCTCAGTACCTGTCATGGACGGAGCTGCCAGGGGCTCATGCTGGATGGCCGGAGCACAGGAAAGGCTGAAGGAATATGAAGGGAATATTGCAGTAATGAATCCACAGGAAGAAACACAGAAGTAAACACACAGACACACAAGTGCACAACCACACACACACACACACACACTCTTCCTGTTCTCGCACAGTCCATTCCTTTGGTTTCCCCTCCATCCAGAGCAGGTCGATCTACAAGCGCTGCCCAGAAAACCTTGTGATTAATGACACGCTTGTCACGTCTGAACCCTCTTCCTCTCCTCACTTCACAGCCCCCAAACACCCCAACGGTCTGACACACCGCTCCGAAAAAAAAAAAAAAAAATCCCCCAGGGGCCGTGCTGCTGCAGCACGTTGGGGAACATCGCCCGGCTCACCTGATCCGATGCTTCATGCATCTGCGCAACCTCTGGAGGCCCGGGAAATACACACGGCATCCTTACACCCACACATGTGGGGATTACAGATGTCTACGTGTGTGACACAAACCCTCTATTCCCCCACGCCCCTTGGCCACTAACGCTTTGTGAGCGCACTCACGGGCTGACGCCTATAAAAAAACAAGACCTAAAATAGGTGACGCCATAACAGCCCTAAGTTACAAGAAGATCCTATCAAGGCCATGTTGTCCCAGCATTGAGATCCCTGGCAAAATGTGACGGGCGGTGACTTTAACCCGGGGACCACTTATAATCACATTGACGCTGGCCCACATCACCTCAGCAATGATTCAAGGACAAACACGGGAGAGAGGGAGAAAGAGACGGCGAGGGACACAAGGAGCGCCGGTAGGTTGGAAGGAGGGGGTGGTCAGCCAGACGAGGAGTGAGTCAGACGAGCAGATCTCCTCCCACACGGAGGCCTGATAAAAGTGCAAACGATATGTCTCTGAGCCGACTTTATCCGTTTGTGTGTTTGGGGTTTGTCCCTGTAAGACAAGACTGCGTGATACCAGCGATACGTTGGAGAAGTGCCTCTGACATCATACGTGTGTGTGTGCGCACATCCTTTTTCCACAGGTCCACAATGGATTACACAAGCAGAGAGACGAGGCGGTGGGCAGAGTCCGCATGTGTGTTTGTTCGGCGTGACTCAGCACGCTCCGAACGCAGTCATGGCGTCAGCCGCTGGAAAGCTGGACGAAAGAGAAGAAGAGACTTGTCCGAACCGAGGTTCAAGTGTCCACCACTTCTCCGGCATCTTCTCTGAATCGAGGATCTCCCCAGAGCTTCGTTGGGCGGGTGTCTGAGGAACTCGCCGAGCTCCGGGGCACAATCTGCCACTTTGTTTTTCTTTCCACTGAGCCACCCAGCTGTTCCCGTGAGCGTGGACCAGTACGCTGGGTTTTACTATGGGGGGGGGGGTGACAGCTGTACTGTGTGGCCCTGGGCGCACCCATCATTAGTGCCAGCCTGTCTTCCTCCATCCCCTCACTCGTTCCCCCTCTCTCTCCCACATTGTTTTCCAAACAGCACCGCACCCTTTTACGATCTTCGCTGACCCAGTTGGTGTCAGTCTTCCCACACGTCCCCCTCGTCTCAGTGGGACACTGCAACCCTTACCACATCTTCACCTCCCCTCTATCAGCCACCAGGGTAACACACAACCCCCCCCCCCCAAAAAAGCAGCATTCATTGTTTGGTAAAAGGCTGAGTGCTCGCCTTCTGAAGATTTGTCTTGAATAGCTTAATTGCGCATTTGATTCACGCTGGGCTCGCATGTAATGGTCTGTGTGGGCTCCGATGTGAGCAGATGATAAAACAACCTTGTGCTTCCCAGCTCTGGTTTGTCAATCACTCTGTAATTCCATGACTCCTGGTCTATTTTCCTGCCCGTACCTCCTCATTGCCGTTCCTTTGCTGTTTTTTTCCCCTCTCAGCGTCTCATCATCTGCTCTTTTTTCATTGCACCTGTTTTATACCCGTTCTCTTTCAACCCCCTACATCTGATATCTGGTGATACTTATCTGTGATGGTTAGGGGTTGATTTCCCACTGTGCGCCATTAACCTTTCTCTCTCTCCTCTTGGTTTAACCCCGAGCAGACGTCTGGCTGTTGGAGACGCAGGAGACTGGAGGAGCCTGCTGCTTTCCCTCAACTTGGATGTGGGGTTTCACCGGCAATCATCGCCGCGTCCTTATTAGCCACGGAATTCATACTGTAAAGGCACTTCACTCTCTTCTCGTGTGCCAATACATCCATCTACCTCGCTCTTTCTCGTCGTCATCGCTCTCCAACCTTCTTCTTTTTTGTACTTCAGGAGGCACTACTGAGGTGTCAGTGACACTACCTGAAACCAATCACAACGCCCTTGTCTCATAACAGCCGTCCACGGCATGAATGCACACGCCCATTCGTCACGGCGGACGCCGTCGTGACCCGAGTGCAGAGCCTCGCCGTCGACACGGCGCTCGGTGTCGCCGGCGACAGAGGAAAATGGAAGGTAACATTCTTTCATTGAATAAAGGGTCTGTGGAAACAGCTCAGAAAGTGTGTCTAATCACGATGAGTGAGGTGT